CCCCTGCCACTCTCCTTCCCAGAGACTGCGTGTTGAGGAGCGAATAGATGTCCTGCGGCGGTACTAGAGCTGCTGTCCCCAGATCTGCAGTGAACCCCACACGTTTTGAGCTAGGGAGGAGGCTGGCAGCAGTTCAAGCAAGCAAAGTCATTACTCCGTTTCCATAAAGGGCTTGCGACCGAGCCTGAAGCAGAGGAAGCTCCAGCTGAAGATGAGGAAGAACTTCTTCCCTCTGAGGGTGACGGAGCCCTGGCCCAGGCTGCCCAGGGAGGCTGTGGAGTCTCCTTCTCTGGAGATATTCCAGCCCCGCCTGTACGCGGTGCTGTGCAGCCTGCTCTGGGTGACCCTGCTTGGGCAGGGGGTTGGGCTGGGTGACACACAGAGGTCCCTGCCAACCCCTGCCTTGCTGGGATTCTGTGATTCTGTGCTGCTCTGCACCCCGTCCCTGGGGTGAGGACCTGTGCGTGGCCTCCGGTCCGGTTCACCCCATTTTATACCGTAACGAATGAGCAGCTGCTGGACCCTTGGTGACGTGGTACCGTGGTGTTTGCAGCTCTGCTGCTGAAGGGTTCAGTCCAGGGTGGAGAGTGCTTGAGGCTGACGTGCAGAACGGCGACTTCTCCAACCCCTGGCGCTGTCAGTGGACTCCTGCTTGGATTCGTGGGATCCCTCTCCATCCTTTCAAGCTGTCCGGGAACGCTGGGCTCTGTCCGTGCTCTTGGACAGCTCTGACAAGGGGGTGTTGGTCCTTTGGCTTCTTGGAGCTGGTCGGTGGCTACCACTGCTGTCCTCTCCTAGCAAATGGGTGACAGGAGGGATCGTCGTGGTTGAAGAGGACTTCTAGATGTGCCCTGTCCACGCAATGGGGAGATCGCCTGGGGACATCCTGAGCCGGTCACCAGTGACAAGGCAGGAGGACGCCAGCCTGGAGGACTTGGGCCATCCACCTGATGCCTGAGGTGATGCTGCCTTTGTGCCAGCCTCACCCCTCTTCTCTGACCTGGAGCAGGGCTGAAAGCCCCCTGCTCTGCTGTGGAAACGGAAACAAGCGGCCGAGCGGTCACACCACCAGCGGAAGGGTCTGTCCCGGCGCGGCTGATGGCTCACACGGTGACTGTGGGTGTCGTTCCTCCTCCCGCAACCCGTCCCACCAACGCCCTGAGGTCCCCGTTTGTAGAGACCGCGCTTGCCCGCCTCACTGGAGAGCTCCTGCGAGCGAGACGTCGCTTGGACGCGCAGCAGCTGGGATCGTCACCCTTTGCGGGGTGGCTGCTGCGGCCGGGGAGCGCAGGGGCTTTGCAGAGCTCCCGGGCAGACTGTACGATCTTCTCGTCCCAAAGATGGAGCTCGGGTCTGCTTGGTCCCTGCAGGAAGGTAGCGTCGGGTCACTTCTCTTTCCATCACGCTGAAAAGCAAAACTCTTTTTTTTTAAGCCCAGAAATAATCTTTTGGGTGAAGAGTGAGGCAAAAATAAATGAAAATTTAATTCCTCCATAACTGCTTTCAGGCACCATCTCCTCGCTCTCCCTTTTGGCTGGCAGAAGGGGCCAGAACTCTGTGGTGTCTTCCAGGCAGGTGGAGCCCAGCTCTTGGGCTGAGGCAGCGCAGGAACTGGTGCATGGTGGTGCAGGAGCATCCCTGAAGCATCAGTGGTGACCCCAGACACTAGTCTGAGGGCTCCTGGGCTGCGAAATGCCCCTCTGGGCAGTGGAGGTGGCAGCCCCCGATGACACTGGACCTGGGTGAAGTTCCCCCAGCTGTGCCAACACTCAGCAGCCGGGAGTTTTGACCCGCAGCACTCTCGGTGTGGACTGAGCAGCATAGGTGTGGGCTCAGGGATCTGTTCCAGATCTCAGCTGGACCTGTCCCGGGGCTCCTTGTCCCATCTCTGGGTGGAAACGGTCCCGGAGAGCGCTGTGGGCTGCCTGCTCTGCAGGACGCTGGCTCTCCTCTCTCTCCTTGGAGCAGGCGAGCTGTGAGCAACACAGACACGGAGGGTTTAGCTGTGTGGAGCTGACTAAGTTTGATAAGTGGGTCCCATCCCCATAAAAACCATAGGGAGAGCCAGTAGCGTCGCTCCCCAGCTCGGCAGGGTGTTAACTGTCCAACCTCCTTGTTCTCCTTAGTCCTCACCCAGTGAAGCCCATCAGCACCACTGTGCAAGAGGTCTCCGGTGAGAAGAAGCAGCAGCAGAGGTCCAGCCTGACGACCGCTCTGAGCAACGGCCTGGAGAAGCTGAAGACGGTCACCACGAGCAGCATCCAGCCTGTGGCCCCGTCCTCTCACCCGGAGAAAGCGGACTCGAAGAAGTTAAAGGTAGGAACCCGCCACCAAGGTGAGAGCTGCGTTCCCACCTGCTCGAGGGGTCCTAGAGCTGGTGGCAGAGGTGCAGAGAGCTGGTGGTGGAGGAGGCAGAACGGGGTCCTGCCACAGCGTGAGAGGAATCAGGTGGATTAACCCCGGCATCCTTGATCCCGGTTGCCCAGGCTCCCTTCCTCCATGACCTGGCCTCTGGACCTTCTCACCCCATCGTTCTTCTCCCATTGCTTGCTTTGGTTTAGGGTCTTTACTGTACAGTGTGTGAGCGAATGCGTGGTCATTCACGGGACATGGACGATGGAGGATGTGACAGCTGCCTGACTGAAGGCCTGAAGGGTTTTATCTCCTGACAGAGGCAGAGGGAAGGTGGCACCTGGAGCCTGGCTCAAATGTCGCTTGCCTGGCTGCGTGTTAAACGCTGGCACGTTGAGGCAAGCAGAAGACCGGTCTGAGATGTCTGAGGGCACAGTCTCACGGGGTTGCCTTCTCCTTCCCATGTCTGCTGCTGCTCTGTTCGTGTCCCCAGCTCGACATGTGAAATGCTGCTGCTGGGGTTCTCGGTGGACCTGCCCAGGGATCTCATCCTCTGGGAGCTCCTGAGGGGTCTTTCAGCTCTGAATTCTGTTCTCCTGCCCTCACCCAGGCCTGCTGCTGGAGGACTGGGGCAGGGGAGAGCCCCAGAGAGGGGGAGGAGCTAATGGCAGGGCTCACTGTGCCAGGCTGCGCTGTGCCCGTGCCCGTAGCTTCTAACGGCTGGGGGAAAGGGGTTTGACACGGTCTGTGGTGAAACCCTGTTAAGGGACTCGCTCAGCTGTCACCTTGCGAACGCCAAAGGGAGCAGCGGTTTCCGTTTGACTCACTGAATGTTCCTCTTGGTTTCTACCACAGGATCCTGCTGTACTGGACCAGTCAGCCAAGTATTATCACTTGACCCACGATGAACTCATCCAGCTCCTGCTGCAGAGAGAGAAGGAGCTGAGCAAGAAGGAGGAGCACATCCAGGAACTGGAGAACTACATTGACCAGCTGCTGGTGCGCATCATGGAGCAGTCTCCCACACTCCTCCAGATCCCCCTGGGGGAAAGCAAGACCAAGTAACCCCTCCCCAGAGACCAGCGTCACTTGCCTAGAGCACTTCTCCAGTAAACACGCCGCAAACATCCCTGCGCTCCCCTCTCCTCTTACAGGAGGGCTCCAAGTGGCTTCCGTTCGCAGAGTTTAGCAGGAAAGGTCATCTGCTCCTTCCCAGCCCAAGCTTATCCCAGCTCTGGCTCCAGGGAACTATAGGGTGGTGGGCTGTCACCCACCCTGTGGGGAGGAGCAGAGCCCTCCACGCGAGGCAGATGTCTCCTTAGGTTCCTGACCTTGTGACCAAGCGGCCCCTTCTCAGGCGCTCACCCTGCCGATGCTTCAAGTGGCCCATGGACATCTTGAGAGCTGGAAACCAACCACCTTGCCCATGTCTGCGTCCTGCTACTGCTGCTCTTCTGCCCGCGCTCTTCCACATCTCTTCTCTCTGAAGTGCTGCACCCTGGCTGGTGGATGGTGTTCAGCTGGTTGATGGCATCAGGGATGGTTAAGCTCGGTGAGGGTCTACCAGCGTGTTACTGTCGGCTGCGCCTGCTCCGTGGACGCCTCTTCCCCTTCCCGCCCCGTGTGTTGCACCCCCAAATGATGGGTCTCCATCTGAAGAGCCAGCTCCAGTTTGTGCCAGTACCCGAGCGTATGGGAGATGCCACACAAAGCGACGGTGCCGGAGTCGGAGGCCGTGAGGGACACCGATGGCGAGCGGTGTCGGTTCCTTTGCTGCCTGCTCAGCGCAGTTACCCAGCTCAAAACTGACCTGGAGACGGGGCAGTGGTGGTTTGTGCACCGTCAGTACTGCGGGAGATCTTCTCACGCACCACCCAACCCATCACCGGGCTGGCTGGCACCGCTGTGCCCCGGGGGGGGCTCCTGTGTGTATAAACCACAGCTGAATTTTCTACTCAGTGTCACATTCCCGCGTCCCTGCGGCCACAGGAATTGCTTTCTGCTTGCAGCCCCCCACAGCAGGAACAGGAAAAACGCCATCGGGACCGAAGCTCGTGAGCAGGGACGGATGTCTGACCGCCCGGCCGCCTCCGCGCGTGCCACCCTGCTAGGCCGGGCGTCCGTCGCACGCTCGCTGCCGAAGCAGTAATCTCCACAGACCCCCTTACACCCAGTAAGGCTTCTTGCCGCTGGCTGTCGAGCCGCCCTCGGAAGGCCTCTGATGGACGCGGTTTAACAACCGTGGGTGACGTTAGCCTGAGGCTGGCGAGCGATGCTCCTGGCCGCCCCGCAGCACGGCGCAGCTTTTGGTTTGGAGACTCTGTGGAAGGGCAGAGAAAGGAGGTTCCTCCCTCATATTCTTCCAGGATCTTGGCTAGAGAAGGTGCCCGTGCAGGCAGAGGGTTGTTTGGCGCGGGACTCGAGCTGTCCTGACGTGTAAGGCATCTTCTCTCCCCTGTACCTCTCCTAGAGTTACTGGATTCTTTCAAAACCTTCATGTTCTTTTCTCCTTACCTGCTTCAGCCGTGACTTTGAAGAATCGTGCCTTTTGCAGTAGAACAACAGCAGTTTCCTACCAAACAAGGCTCTGAAATCCAACTCTCAGTTCAGCGCAGCGCACCGTGGGCAGCTTTCCCCGCTGTCTGCCCGCTGATCTGAGCGGGGTGAGGTTATTTTCAAACGCGGACAGCGGAGCCTGCCCTCCCCGTGTGCGGGTGCCTCCCGTCTTCAGCGGGGGTTCTGCACGGGCAGCCCACGTGACGCGAGAGGTGGAGATGTCAAGAGGTGGCACTGGAGGAAGAGCAGGCCGAACGTTCCGAGACAGAATACAGCTGGGAAACCACAGGCGGGTCACGCTCGAAGTCTGAGGTTGGAGGAGCAGGCCGTCGGAGCAGGAGATACCGGCTGAAAGGAGATCTGGTGGCGGTGTCATCGACAACGTTTGGTCATATCTAGCCTGTAGACCAGAAGGAGGAGGAGGATTTGTCACCTGGGAAGATGCTGGCTACGAGCCTTTAGGTCCCACCTGCCTTTGCCCCTAGGAGGAAGCGATCTGGGGTTTTGCACTTCTCTGCCTTCGTCTTCACGTTCCTCCTCCCTCTGTGTGTCCCAACTGGGGGACTTCCTTTCTGGTGTGAGCCATGAGGGTCTGAGGGAAGGTGTTTCTCCTTGCAGAAAAGTGCCAGAAAACTCTCTCTGCCTTTATAATCAAAAGATCCCGTGGCCTGAGAGCTGGCTTCCCTTTCTGGGTTGGAGGTCTCTTGGGAAGCCCTCTCTTCTGCTTGGAAGCGGGCCGGGAGGAGCTGTGGACCGCTGGAGAGCAGTCAGGAGAGCAGCGTGGTGCGGGAGAAGGGGACGGGCAGGGATGCTGAGCGCTGCAGGCTTGCGTCAGGCGGCGTAAGGGAGGAGGGGGAGGGCGCAGAGCCGAAATCTCGCACGAGAACCAGGAGCCCACGCCGAAAAAAAGCTGCTTCCCAGGCCTTCTCCCCCGGCAGCGGTCGGCATTGTCGGTGCTCCCCACACACAAGTGCCAATGTTCTTCAGCATCTTGCTGCACCTCCTCCCTGCCTTCGCCCCCCCCTCCTCTTCCATCACGTTTCACCGCCTCGCTCATCCCCCCTCTGCCTTAGTCAGCTCTGCCTTTTTTTTTTTTCCTCCGAAGCTGGAATGTTTTGCACTCGAATATATAAAAGTGAATCGCAGAGCTACAGTGGGCCGCGTCGGGCGTGCGGCCTTTTGAGCAATACGTGCTTCCTCCCGCCGCCTGCCTCCGCTGCGGGCCCCCAACCGCCTCCCGCCGCCGGAGCCCGCGCCCTCTCGGAGGTCTGGGGCTACGGAAACAGCCGAGTGGTGACGACGGCCAAGGCTGCCCGGATGTTTCGTGTCTGTCCTCACGTGTCCAGAAGTCCACAGATATCTACGTTGTGCTTAGGAAAAGGCATCTTAAAAATGTTTTTGTCTTTGTTCTCTGTTTTTCCACCCTGCTGTCCTGCAGGTGGGATTTCCCCCCCCTCCCCTACAGTTTTTATTCTCTGCAGAAGAGCAAGCGAGCTTGGCTACAACCACGCGACAGCACTGAAGCTGGGGTCTCGACAATTTTTTGTTCAAGCCTCGTAAGTTATCAGAGGGAGCTGGTTCCGAGGACCTCGATGTTTTCTCGTAGAGGAGGGGTGAGAAAAAGCAGCGGGGAAAATGCTCTCAGGTGGCTCGTGTCCCGAGTGTCCGTATTCAGCCATTTATTTGCCGTTCTTGTGGTCGGTGCGCGGTGACGCCCCGAGGTCTGTCGCTCCGCGCTGGGCCGAGCAGACGAGAGGGTTCTGACGGGCTTTTCACCGGTTCCGCTTTCAGCGCGGCCGTGACGATTACCCTGTGTTTTTCTTTTCCCTCCGGGTCTGTCCCTCTCTTCCCACGCTCAGGCTGTCTGAGGAGGTCTTCCGCAGGGTGCTGCCGCTCCCGGCCGCGCTCTGCTTTCGCTGTCAGCCCGCAGCTGGGTTTCTTGCTTTTAAAGAACTCCGGCTGAGTGATTGATTTTCGCCTTGACTGGCCCCTTCTTGCCCAGAATCATGGGCCAGAAGAACCACCAAGGTGTGTCCTTAAACTGGAACAACCCTGAAGGGATGCGGATGCTGAAGCGTCACCTAGGCTCAGCCTTAGGACTCGTCGGTGAAGAAAGCGCCATGTGTTTTGTGTTGTGGGGTGGGGAAACCATCCCAAAACGGGCGAGAGAAGCGTCGGGGTTTGGGGAGTTGTTGGTTTCCCGGTACTTCGTGTACGCGGGAAGTGGGTTCTGTGCGTTTCATGTTTTAATAGTTGCAACCAATGTTTATAAAGAGCTTGTTATTTACGTTTTAAGCACTTTAAAAAAAAAAAAAAATAAAAGTTGTTCAAGCTGTTCCTAGATACTTCTGATTTATTGACAACAACGTCTGTGCTGATTGCACTTGGACAGGGAGTGACATTTATCTGTTTATTTTCTGCAGCAGGATGACGGTGTCCAACTTCTCCGGCAGCTTTTCCAGCGTCGTTGACTGGCCCCAGGCACCCTCCACCACGCGGTGCCGGCAGGGGGTGGTGGGTGCTGCAGGGTCACCTGGAGATCCTCTCTGAATATTGCCCCTGTCTCAGCTGATGGGTGCACCCGAGGGGCCGAAAGCTCCTCCAAGCTTCCTTCTGTTGTGCCTTACGGTCGTGTTGGGCGCTGAGTGACTGCAGGAGCAGGGTGTAAGCTCCTCAGAACTTCTCAGAGCTTCCTTGCGTCATGCCTACAATCATGTTGGGCGCCGAGCGACCACAGGAGCGAAGTGTAAGCTCCTCAGAGCTTCCTTGCGTTGTGCCTTACAGTCGTGTTGGGCGCTGAGCGACCACAGGAGCGAGGTGTAAGCTCCTCAGAGCTGCCTTATGTTGTGCATTACAGTTGTGTTGGGTGCTGAGCGACCACAGGAGCAGGGTGTAAGCTCTGTGCTGGGGCGCATTCAGAGGAGTGTGGGCAGCAGGGCGAGGGAGGTTCTCCTTCCTCTCTACCCTGCCCTGGGGAGGCCCCATCTGGAGTCCTGTGTCCAGTTCTGGGCTCCCCAGTTCAAGGAAGATGAGGAGCTGCTGGAGAGAGTCCAGCGGATGGCTATGAGGATGAGGAGGGGACTGGAGCATCTCTGCTACGGGGAGAGGCTGAGGGAGCTGGGCTTGTTCAGCCTGGGGAAGAGAAGGCTGAGAAGGGACCTTCGAAATGCCTCTAAATATCTGCAGGGTGGGGGTCAGGAGGACGGGGCCAGACTCTTTGCAGTGGTGCCCAG